AGAAGCTGCTGGGAGTCCCAGCAGCTTCTCCTGAAGCCAGTCCCTAACTCGGGGACTTCCGGCCGGGGATTTTGGGCGGCAGTATACGCCGTGAAGTTGTTTGCGGCCTGCCAGTAAATCCAAAGCAGAAGAAGAAAAAGTGACGTCAGCGGCTTCATTTGCCTAATCCACCCCCAGGAACTAATTTCCGGTGTGAACGCGATCTGTACATAGTTCATGAGAACTAAAGAGTTCTCAGGAACCTTTGTGGGAAAAGTACTTGGTGTGAACGCGCCTATTGACATCCAATTGCAATTTGAAAGTCATATTCTGTTAAACAGTTGATGTGAAGTAGGAGATGTGTGGTAAGATGGGAAGCTCTATGAAACCAACAATAATGTCTTATACTGTGCGCTTTAGTTGTCAGTTTAAAAAAGCATCCTAGTGAAGTAACAGTAGGAGCCTCTACGCGACTACAGAGCCACTACAAAAACCATCTGTTAACACCACAAAGCACATGGCCTCTAAAGCTGACATATAATCTGGAAAAGCACCTAAGGCTGCATTTGTTTCTTCACCTTGTTGTTGTGGCCATGTGGAGGAATAATCTAACAACAAACAAGAACAACTGATTTGAATTTCAAAATAAATATATGGTAAAATGTATCTGCCGAGGTGATGAGTGAGAAGCCGAGGAGACTGAAGGGGCATAACCTGAAAATAATCTAAATGTGTGAAGGTGAATTCAGTGCACTGTGGATGTAGGGTGTACTTACAGGAAGGGAGATCAATACGAGCTCAGGAGGGGTCTCAAGGGACCCGTCTGCAGCAGCATAGACCACAGCAAACACAAACGTTTTCAGCCACTGCACATCCAGAACTGTGAGAGACAACAGGAAAGAGAGGCATTAGCCACAGATAGGGTTTGGATACAGTAATACAAGTGAAACTAAACGAGAATATTAAATATATTGATGTCAAATAAATAAAGTATTTAATCTCATTAATAATCCGGCTCAGTTAATGTGCATAACACACAAATATCAGTTGATTTATCAATACAGGATTTGCCTTACCTTTGACAGGGTCAGAAGTGTAGAAGTGGGGACATGGGATTTTCCTTTTTTCCTCTAGTGCCTTTAAAAATAAGATTAAGTCAGTTATTCGTTCCGTTAGTCGGATTCTGAAGCTCTAAGTGATTTATTTTTAATTTAGGAATACAGATTACTTACAGGTGTATATTGACTGACTTCAGAATTCATTTTTCCTGCAGCAACTTGTTTTCCTTTTGGACTCCAGCCAACTGCGAGAAACAAATAACATTATCTCAAATTGAGCCACAAGAAATATATGGAGCAGAAGTAAACTCAAGGTGACGAGTCTCACTCACTACATGTGATGCCATTTGAAGCAGGTAGCTGAGCCTGCACTTTGACATCGCCAGTAACATCCAAGATCATCAAACAGCCGTCAGACAGACAGACGGCGAGCATTGACGGCTGAACAGGATTCCACTTCAGGTCTTGCACTAAACAGCCAGGGGCTACTGCAGGCAGCAGTGATGCAAAAGGTAGTTTCTGGGTTCTTGCCTGGAAACATATTTTTTATGTAAATCTGTCAAACACTGGGGCATTTAATAATTGAGTAGCCAGGTTAGAAACGTACTACATTTAACTGAAAATAGTTAATAATAACTGACAAGAATTCCATGCAATTATTTCATAATGTACTACTATAATTAAACTGTTGCATGCAGACTATGTACATCAGCTGGGAAGGTTTACAAACTGTGTATTTTTAACAGTCAACATAGAAAAAGTAAAAAGCATTATTTGGAGACTTTATGCTGAACTGTAAAACTAATTATAAATTATAATTTCATCTAAAAATAATTGCTGTATGTCAGGGTGTTTTTCAGGTTGCTGGTCAGACTGGATATAACAATATAAGTACATAGCTAATCTTGCACTGTTTAAGCTATTTTTGTTATGCAAACACTACTACACCATCTTCAAATACAATGTCTCAAGACATACATTGAAAGAGTCAAAGTAGGATAAAAATAGTCACCTTGTTCATGAAGGTGCGGACATCATAGAAGGTGAAGGACAACCCCCCCGCCTCAGAAATGCCACATACTGACAAAGTGAGTTCATCACTACTGAGAGCTAAGTGGTGCAGGGACAGATCCACAGTCACGTCTGCCAATACAGGTGTCCCCTCGACTAGAACAAAATGGAGCAAATTGTGAGTAAAAGACTTAAACTGAAAGCAGGGTGAAGACGAATTGTTAGCAACAGCCAACATTGTGCAAAACAATTTCTAAAGTCATATACATACCTACTTCGTTGGGGTTGCCATCAAATTTATCAGCACCAAGGATGTCTTGAGTTTGGTAAACCTTGAATGTTCTGTCGAGCCCGACAAAAGTTAAACCAAATTTGTTTGAGATGGTAAGCAGACTAGTTCTTTCTTTAGGCAAATCTTCAGTGGGCTGAAAGACTCTGGTTTTTTTCATTTGTCGAAACTGAAAATCCTGAAAAAAAAAGAAACACAAGCAATGCTTATAACTTCAGGGTCAGCTGTTATGATTGGTGAACAAACTGTAAGTGGTTCCAGTTCAATATCTGCAAACTAAACTGTCTTCATAGGGACAAAAACAAGTATACTGGAACCATGCTTGAAGACATACACTGTATACATATATATATAAGAACAGAGACATTTACTTTACTTTGAGAAACATTAATTGTTACCAGAGATGGCAAAAGTACACGCATCCTTTACTCAAGTAGAAGTACAGATAATCTGTAAAATACTCTGGTAGAAGTATTAACTACACTTCTTTACTTAAGTACAAGTAAAGAAGTATGGGCTTGGAAATGTACTTAAGTAAAAAGTACCCATAACTAACTGTTTTAAAGAGTAACTGACCTCAATTTATATTAATAGAACAATAATGTCATTGTTAGCTAATGAATGTGTCGATGCTGAACAACGGCAACATGACAACGTTTTCATTGGTCCCTCTTCTTTAGAGAAGACCAGGAAATGATGGATACACGGACCTTGTTAAAATCCATAGGCACGCAATGACTCTAAATAATAATGATCACGCCACTAAACATAGATTAAAAATAAAGTAACGAACCTGTTTTGAAAATGTAAGAAGTAGAAAGTACAGGTATTTATGTTAAAAAAGTAAGAAGTAAAAGTAAAAAGTTGTCAGAAAAATAAGTAGTGGAGTAAAGTACTGGTACCAGAAAAATGTACTCCAATACTTCCCACCTCTGGTTGTTGTGCTTTCCTTTGAAACAGGTATCTGATACTTTCAACTTGACCAGTTTGTGACATCGGTAATTTACGCAAAGCACCAAATAGAAAGTAAAATCTATCTTGATAGCCAACATGCTGTGCAGTCACTTCACATTAGCTAACTATGCTAAACTGCGACTCCATTTATACCATTAGAGCAAACGTGTATTAAACGTGACAACTACCTAATTTATTTATTTCACGCGCACACAGTTGTTAATTCTCACAACCACAAGTAAACACTGAACACTCAATGAGCATAATGTTATATGACGTAGCTAGCAAATATGCTAATAGCTAGCGTTCTAGGATAACTACTTGGCTAGAAACTAAGAAGATAAAAGTGACTGTAACAGTTTCTTCATGCCACACTTTTAAACCGACATATCTAACTGTTATTTGTGTATAAGTAACCAATATATGTTTGTATATGTTTATGATTCAGGTGTAAACGGAAAACCTAAAGACGAACAGCTAGCAAGCCAGCTAAGCCATCCAGAAGCATTGAAAATGCTAACAAACATTAGCTCACAGGTGCTAACTTGTCAACACTATTTATTGACAAAGCTTACCTTCATTTCCCTCTCAGGAGGGTTGTCTGTGTCGTCACTCATTTTGAAGCAAAATAGTTGTTGCTTCTCCCGAAAATATTTCGTATTCTTTATTCCTCACTTATTTGTGTCAGAGATAAATTTCTAGTGAGCCACATTTGTCTGTCAGGAGAGCTGCACACAAGCCGCGCGATTTTTGCGACAGAAAAACGTCATCTACGTACGCAGGATGAGAAGTAGATACCAGAGTACCCCGAGATTATTACAATAACTCAGTTACTTTACAAAAGGATGACAATAACTGGTTACTTTTACAGACAAAACTTCACAAAATATAAATCTCCTATGCACATTGTTTTAAAAAAATAAACAAATATAGATAATAAATGCTATTTTACCAATCGCCTCCAAAAACAGACCATGGCCTACTACCTCTTTGTTTACTACATGTGTCCTGGTGGAATCAATTAATCTTATAACAAAAGTATAATAAATAATTCATGAAGCATTTAAAACTTTCTTTAAAACATAGGGTTTATTTATTCATATAGGGTATCAAACATTGTAGAGGTTGACTACCTACGCCTCTGAATACTTATTGTGGGTTTCTGCACCCGACAAGCCCCTGAAGGTAGTTTACCGTACATAACTTAAATAAATAACACAGGAGCATACAGAGACAAAAGAAACAAGAGCAATTTGGTGAAGTAAGGACTTTTATTAGAAAGCAGATTTTTCTGTATTGCATTTAAAGAAATCAGGTACTCTTGGACTACACAATTGAGACTGGTGATGGAAAATACCATGATGGGAATGAAAGGTAGATTCGTATGCAACATCAAAAGTGGCAACTTGCATTTCTGTTGTATATATTATTGATGCTTGAGACAGAAGGCGCATTAACATTTTTATTTTAAACATAAAGCAGTATCAACACTAAAATTGTCAAATCCCAGTTTGCCTGGTCCAAGCCCTGTTGATAGTGAAGTACGTTACCATTATCAAGGTGCAGGCTTGCATGATAAGATCCTCTTTTGTCCTAAAAACTGTCCATTAAGAGGATACCAATATGCCTAGACTTAGGACCTATTTGGGCCATGCTTAGTAGAGCCTTACAGATATGTTCCATGTCAACATGGAATAGCTCTGTTCAAGAAGCACCAAGGTATTAGTCCAATGTAGTCAGTTCTTTTTGCAAACACTTTTAACCAAGAAGGCTGGAGTTAACATCAGCCAGTCCCTCTGCTCTGGAAAGTAAGCTAGCACAGACCAAAGCAAGCTGGAGATAGACTAAGCAAACAGCAAGAGCACAGCAAGTCATGTCAGATCTCCCATAATGCACTTTGGGTCTCATCCCTATTCTGATTGTCAGCGCTCTGAACACATGGCTTTAAAAGTTGCTTTTTCTCCTCGTTCACCGAACCCACAGTTACTCTATTCTCTCTTTGTTTCTAAGTAGTTCTAAAGTGCTGGCATTATGTTCAAGGACACATACAAACGTTTAGTGCATTTTCTCTGAGTCTGCAGAAGGTTCAAATGCATACTCAACTGGGTAGTTAGTTTACGTTTTCAACTCTTTTTCACTACTTTGCTGTCATTTTTAAAGAATATTAAAATTGACACAAACATTCAATAAAAGGCCAGGGTTTGATAAAAACACAACCCTACTCATTGCAGGACTCCACAGTCTTTGTTTGCTAACAGTGACAACAGTTATTCAGCATAAAATACATGGTGCATAAAGATCAGAGGTTTCATTGGGTTAGAGTGAGTTTCTGAATGGCATGCATTATATGATACAAGAGTCTCTTTGCATATAAATGTATTGTTTCCTGGAAAAACCAATGGCACTACTGTGCCCATACGTTTTAGTTATGGGGTGATGAACAGAGCACTAAGGTTTTAGAAAGTAAGTAACAATTTATTTGCAAAGAAATGTGAAAAACCTTCCTATCTCTTACTTGTAATGTTCAATGATCATCCAGGTGAATGGCAGATATTGCAAAAGACACATTTCCAAAAATATTTATCCGAAAATGTTTTTCATGAATTCAGAATTTTCTGTGAAGGAGACCTGGTTTCAATCAAATATATATGTAAAATACATAGCATTACATACATTTTAACAGGACCTTTTCTTTAGGCCACCTCAAACAGCTCACCTTACCAAAGGTTATCCATGACATTCTCTGAGAATATCTCAGTTTATAGTGCAACATCATTCATTTTCAAATGTGCCCTGCACAAGAAAAAAAGACTAAGCAGAAGAGAAACCATAGAAGATTTCCATAAAAAGGTTTGTTTTTTTTGTTGGCAAGGAACGAGACAGACATATTTCCAGTAAGGCAGACTAACTGTAAACAAGCAGAAATGTAAATGCAGGATGGGGAACCAAATGTTTTATGTGGGATTGTCTTGTAAAGAAGACTAGTCCGATTATAAATCTGTCAAAAGCCTGATCTTAAACGTGAAACCGTGAATACTATAGATTTTTGGTATACTTTTTAGGGATGTCTGTTAATCTTATAAATAATGTGAGGAGATCATTCTAGAAGATCCATGGTTGTTACAAATGAACAGTTCAATGCATTGAAGTGCAGTTCATCTGTAATAATGGGTTTAACCTTTTACCCTTATAGAATTAAATATGGGGCAAACATTAAGCAAAAAGATGAGTGAATAAAATCTAAAATCTAAAAATAAAAGTACATTTTACTGAGCAAAGGTCCTTAAAGGCCAATTTCCATAAAGAAAAAATGTGTCTGCATAATATTTTGTATTGTTTGTCTTATAAAAGGTTAATTCGCTATTGGCACCACTGGCTTAATATCTTAATTTTCCTTACAAGAGCAAATCTAAGAAACTGAAGCTTCATAAAAAATAGAAACACAATTTGATAAAGAATTCATTTGCTAGATTTTAAAAGTTAACATCCTAAACGTCAATAATTTGTCTGTTTTTGTTCATATTTGAACATTAAAGACACCCATAAATGTAAAACGATTAAAACAAAATTAGGATTAAAAACACAATAGTATTTAAGAAAAATGAACGCCTATAATCGAACCTTGCTCAGTTTTTGTAAGGGAAATATCAATTTGGAAGACCAGTTTTAAAATCACAAAAACTTTGAACACCATCGAGGCTCATATTCAACTTAATGTTATATTACCGACTTTTTTTTGTAATGACCCACTATACAAATGAGACAAAAAAGGGCCAGATTAAAATTAATGTATTTTACTAATCCAGGATTGGACCTCTCGCCAGAACAGTGCTACAGTTTACATTCATTCATCATCTCAGCCATTCTATCACAGCCCTGTTTTTATCCATGGTGGACCCCATGTCTTTGAAAAGAGAAAAGAAAAACATACTCAATTCTGTAAACATCATCATTATTATTACCTAGTGCAATTATAACCCTGTGTTTCTTGTGCAGGGCCATCTTAAAGCCTCTCATAAAGAATGACACGTAAACACAACATTTGAGGTGGCACAGCACTGAAGCAAAAACCAACAGATCAAATACATCAGGGGCCAATACATATCATTTGTTTGCTTGGTAGTCAATTTATGCTGTCAAATTTGCAGTGGAAAAGTGATTCATTTTTCCAATAACTTTGGGGTTCACTGAATTTGATGGTCAGACCTTTTGAATTAATGTTCTTTGACAGAAACAACAGAACAAAAACATACAACAGTGTATCTCTCAAAATCAATGCAACAAAGGAAGGCTTTTTGGACTAAGTCCCATATGCGTGGCAGAAAACATGAATAGCAGAAAGATATAACAAAAATTACAGGTTTTTAGTCCCTGTCCGACATTGCCTCACCCCACCCCCCTTCCAAAATATAGAAACCATTTCTTTCAGAAAGAACAGTTTTCTCTTTACAAACCCACAATGTCCTCATCAAATAAACAATCACTGTGATGTGGAGGACATTTTCAGTCTTTAGTACAGTCACATTTTTTCAAAACTCCTTAGTTTACCACCCGTTCAATTTATTTTGAGTGCAAATGCAAATAGCCAGCAGAAATTGCTCTAAGAAGTTTTATTCAATAATTTACCCCCCAACCCCTCCAGGAAAAACAAAGAATGGAAGCAGGACCATGTGGTCAATCAGACGAACACGTCGAGGTGAAACAGTGCTTCGCTCCTTTGCCACTCATTGTAGTGCGCTTACTTCTCTATATGTTCAGTCTCCTCTACCCGTTGTCAAAGCACGCTCTGCGGTTAAAAAAGCAGATCCAATGGGTTCTGTGTTAAACACAGTTGATCACACCCAGGTCAGTTCTAACAGGAGTCAGACAGATCCAAGTGGAAAATGGACAAAAGTCCTTTCATGGCATATCTTGAGGCAATAGATGCAGTTTTATCATGTAGATGCAGGTGTGTGGCTTTGTTGTTTTCAATAATTCTCTGTATTCATTGTTTGCAGACATGCAAGCTTGGATTTTAACACACACTCTTGTTAATGTCTCTCTCCCCCCTATCTCCCAAACAGAATGATGTTATCCAAAAGGATTTCTCAAAGTTAAAAAGCATTGTCGCGATTTTTTTGGACAGTGTATTTTTTATGCATTGGTGCAGATTTTAAAGGCTAAGTATCATAAGGTGAGAATATGGGGGCGTGTGTGTGTGTGTCTGCTGATGTTTCTGTGTGTGTGTTTTGGAGAGGCAGTCTGGAGCAGACACAGGCATCACATTGACAATCTAATCCAATATGTCACGGGCAAATATGCATGAAAACTAAATTCCATGTGATAGATTATTGGTTGGATTGTGGAGAACTTCTCGTCTTTATCCTCAAAATGACCCCATGTTATAAAATAAAGTAAAATGTCTTCTGTTTAATGGTGGTAATGCAGAACTTGAGCTTTTATAATCATTTAGTCATTGTATTCATACTAATACAACAAAATAAGCTGCTTTTAAAAGAGCTTTGATTCCCTGATCTTTAGATCATTTCTCTATTTCTCCCAAGGTGACATGGGTTATTTACGGATGTTGCTTTTCAAGGAAACAGAATAGTTTTACATACCATTATACTACACTCCCTAATATGCCAGCAAAGCAGCTGTTGCTTTTGTATTTCTCTGAAATCATGAATCATTCCAGACATTTGTTCTGCTATCAGGCTTTTGTAATATTGCTGTAGGTGCCGAAACACCCGAGTAAATACTGAATATACCAAGAAAAGGATGTAGCAGAAAGGGTTGATTTTCTTAATTTGCTAATGCCATGCCTGTGTCTACTTCTACTTTGAGTGATCTACTTCTACCATCAGTAAGTATGCGTGTTAACAAGCACACGTGTGCGCATGCATGTGTGACAAATGCCTATATTAAGATCTACGAGCGTAGCTATTGTGCTGAATTAATTCCTGCCAAGGAAGCACAGGGGAGAAGTAAGAGTGATGGACGAGATGTTGAGTAAGAGAGCAAGCAAAAGAAAATGCGCTGTTAAACAGATTCACAATGTGAGAGGCAGCCGTAAAACGTCATTCACTGTCCGTTCACCCGCAGACCTTGTCCAAAATTCTCCACTTCCTGCTCTGAAGGCGTGTCGCCACAGTTGCCTGCCTCAGCTCCTGTGATCAATGTTGGTGCCCCCATTGATCTGTCTACACCTTCTAACCCAGCTTCTTCCTCATCTTCCTCCTGCTCCTCTTGGACTCCACCTTCAGCCTCTGCTCCAGCCGCCCCAGCCCCGGGGCTGCCCTCTGTCAGCGCTGCGTGAGTCCTGAGAGGGTCCTTGCGATCAGGAAACAACCTAGGCTCTAGGGCCTTGAAGTCCACTTCGAAGGGGAGGGCCACCCCTGGTTGAGAGGCACCCAGGGCCAGGCCCAAACCCACAGCAGCACCCATGCCCATTCCTGCACGGTACACCTCCATGCCATCAGGCAGCATGGACTTGATCTTGGGCAGCCATCGCTTGCGGACACGCCTCGCATTTGTGCACATGTCAGCAGCAATCACATTCATTTCACTCTCCTTGAAGTTAGGGTTGAAATTTTGACAGTAGACTGTAAAAGAGAAAGAAAACTCAATGTAGACAAATTGTACTCTTTTGAAATGTTATCACATATATTGGCGGATTTGGGAAGTGAACCTACGTTTGACAGCGTTGAGGACCCTGCTGTCCAGGGGTTTCCTACTGGGGTCACTAGTAGAAGAACGGATACCTGTCCCACAGCTATTGGCTAAAGTGTTTCTGCAGGGAGTCAACACCAGGGGGCAGAGTCAGCAACAGCCACATACAGTAGATCAACATGGGAACACACAACTAACCGCATTGCACAACATGGCCACAGATGGTGTGAAAGTTGGTTTGAGACAACAGTTGTAGTGTTGCAGTCATACAAAGAACTCAAATCTTACAGTAGGCCCTTACAGACTCATGCAAACAGTTCTTCTTCACAGTGCATGTTTTTGTACTCACCTATCGAAGAATGTGGCAAGCAGGCGGCGAAGCAAGACTTTGTGTTTGATACCAGCACATAGATGACAATTCATCAGCTGTCCTCGAGTCATGAACACCTGTGTACCTGGTGTAGAAATAGAAAAGTATTTGCTGAGAAAACTGCTCATATTACAATACATTCGTCCTTACAGATTCTCTAGGCCTTGTCGTTTCTCTCTTGGGCCCAAATACTAGTTCATCTTTTGTTATTTTGCTAGATTTGAAATTCCTGTTCAAGGAAACTTCACGCAGTGAAACGTTAATCAGGAGAGAAATCAAAGTTGAAGGCCATAAAAAAAAAGCACACAATTAAAATACTCGGTTTTGCCTTCTTTTCAAAACCTATCTTTTTCACATTCATGTATTGTATTCTGTATCTTATAAGCACACTACAAAACTGATTAACCTTTTACCATTGGGTTCCATTGTGTTTTTCTATTACATCACCGTCTGATTGAACTGGAGCTTGCAGTTACTTTTTGAACTCTTGAACCAATAGTAAATTGATTAAACTTTTGGCCCTCCTCCCTTGTATGAATTATATTAGCTACATGGTACCTGGTCTCTCTGAGAGTCTCTTGTCTGACTGCCAACAGCGATGTCTGGCAGTCAGACCAAAGAGTTCAGTTTTTGTTTAATCATACCAAAAATATATAATTTCTCATGCTTTCAGAACCGTGAAAGGGCAATTCGCCAAACTCCCGGCAGGCTGTCATATGCTTTTTACTCCAGAGTGACTTCTGTCTAGTCACTCTACCATAAAGACCTGATTGATGAGTACTGCAGAGATAGCTTTCTTTCTGTCATTCTCCTTAATCCCTGCAGAGAAACTCAGCTTTGTTCTGTCCTTTTAGGATCACCACAGTAATGTTACTAAAAAACACTATGGGGGTCAACCAGAATCAGCTTAAACATAGGTCAGATGCAGGTTGAATACATGTATGCTGCATTAAAGGGATATGAGCAGTAATTTAAGGAAATTTCCAAAACACTACCTTATTGTTAAGCTGCCATAATGTCTGTCTGCTTGTCTGTGCATGTGTGAACTCGTCTCTCCCTTCTCTATTTGTGGATTAAGTACATCATTTTAAAACCCTAATCACAAACAGCAGTGATACTTGTCTATTTATAAAGTGGATGGGCAGTTAGGAAATTACTTCAATATGTGGGGTAAAAATCATGGGATTTGAAACTGCAGGAGAACAGTGGGGAGAGAGCCGGGGAAAATCAAAAGGGTTGGCAACCATGGAATACATATTTAATCATTTATTAGAATCAGATCATGTTTATCATTTTGGCGGGGGATGGTTAGTGTGTGAACCTAACTGCATGTAAAAATGAACAACTCTCTGGATATTAGTGAGGGTCACTGGGCTGTGGCCAACCTCCCCAATCGATTGCCTTTTAGCTCAAGTACAGACGTAATGCTAAATTCATGCTCTATAAGATGTCTCTTTTCTAAAGGTGTTTTATATTACAATGCAACACCTGGAGTTCTCTTAAAGGTCACCTATCGTGCAAAATCCACTTTTTCATGTCTTTTATACATAGAAAATGTGTCCCCTCTGTGTAAAGAGATTCTGGAAGTTTCAGAAAAAAAAAAATGTGCTCACTGTCCTGATCCATTTATATAAAAATGAGCTGATCAGATTTTGGCCACTTTATGATGATTTTTTGGCTTGTGTAACCATTAGCCAATAACCAACCAAGGTACCCCCCCCCACCCCCGATTCACCTGAATATCCTCCTAGAGCACCATTGTGTTCTTTTTAACCAAATATCTCTCAGAGGGGCGTGGGGAGGGGCTCCTTATTTTTATGTAAAGTAACAGACAGAGAATCAGCACTTTTGAAACAGGGCTGAAACAGAGGGGATTATGGGATGCTGCAATGGCTGATATGTTTGGTATTTCGAGCCAAACACTTTATAGACATGTTTGTATATATCTGAGACCTATAATATATTGATGAAAAACAGTATAATAGGGGACCTTTAAGTTCTATATTTAATAGTTGAAATGAATCCCATCGTATTAATTTAACTGACTATCAAAGAATTGATGATCTAAATGTGGTAAAGGGTGAAAGTATGAATACTAACCAATTGACTAATGGCACGTTATTCTCTGCTTGTGTACATGTGATGAAAGTGAAATAAATGCATGCATGTTCATTCCTATTTGTGTGTGCGTGCCTACCAGCTACCAGTTCCAGCTTCTCCCCGGGGTCCCCCTCAGTGTAGAGCTTAGGGTGGCAGCGGTAGCCTATCTGACTGATGAGGCTTGCAGGCAGCGCCACCAGGTCCCTGCGGATCAGCACGCAGTTGCGGCTCTCCAAGGCCAAGGGCATCGAAGCCATCTCTGGCTTCTCCTGGACTGATGAAAGTAAAAGGAAACAGAAAGGGTTCAGAAAGCTTTTCTAACACAGCAAATCAGAGACAGATAACTTGGTATGCATCCATAAAAAGATCAGAGCAGTATATAAACCACAAAAGAAAAACAACTTCCATCCATTCCCTCTGTGCCCTCTATTTAAATAAAGGGTACACGATTTAATTCACAGAGCAGGTTTATGTAAACTCATCAGCTTGTTGTGTTATATAAATGTTTTAGAGCATTGCAGATGTATCCCAGTCATGATGCTGCATCAGCAACTTGAGTTTGGGAGAGGGACAGATCTGGAGCTGGGTGTTAGGTTCTTACTTACAAAACTGCCTCCCCTAACCTCTGAGATGACTTGTGAGTGTGTACGCACACCTTCCGTGCGCACACACACACACACACACACAGAACAGGAGAAGTAATCAATTAATTGCCACACATTCACAAAGTGAATACAGAAAAGTGTGGATTAATGCACACTTCTAACACACACACACACACACACACACACACACACACACACACACACACACACACACACACACACACACACACACACACACACACACACACACACAAAGATGGGCAATGCTCTCAAATATCCCACAATGTCACCCTGGGGTGCTCTGACTGATTGCAGATAGAGTGGGTTTCATAAATATCTGAAACTCTAGTATTTGACAAACCTGTGCGATGCCTTTGAGCTGTAGGAAGCTAACAATGATGGAAGGTGTGTGTGTGTGTGTTGTTTGTGTGCACACATGTGAGTTTGAGAGTCCCTGTCCCTGTGTAAATTCAAACACAAGTGAATAAAGCATATACATATTCACAGGCGTAGGTAAACCTGCACCAGTATAAAGACTATAACAGAAAACAGTAAAGTACCAGCTGTTGGAGCTGTGATACCGAGTGTGTTGTTGGTCACGATGCACTACAATCATAACTCCATAAAGCTATCTTTATGCTGAGAGAACCCACACACACACTGGAGGCACAACATCCTGCTTTTTCCTAGATGCTCAGGATACATGATTTATGAAAGAGTACTGTAAATAATGTAGCTGGGATGAAATTAATGTGCATCACTTTTATTCGCACAATACTGAACTCTAGACAAGGAGCAACCGTGTTAAATAAACCCTATATTCATTGGTATGTACTGTATTTCTGCAAGTCATGCAGAGTTTGACTTTTAGATCAGTCAGATATCAGATGAATTTCCCTATATGAGCCAAGGGCAATTGAGAAAGTAATTCACTTACTTAGATTCTACATAGCAAGAACCTTTTTAAAAGAGCATATTGATGGATGGTTGACATTGAAATGTTCTTGTTAGCATTAGCATTAGCTATTTTGATAAGTTCAGTTAGGAATTAAATACGTATCAGTGTGGAATAAAATGGAAATATAAAATTAATTTTGGGCTATAACTGAGAACAAACTGTATTTGCAGAGGTTTTTAAAGATGACAAATATTCCAGAGGTAGCGTCAGTGATAAGTGCTCTCAACCAAAAACACAAAAGCACTGTAACGCTTCACAAAGATTTAAAAAAACATTATTTTGACATAATACTCACTCCCATAGGGGTTAGCTGAACGTCCATAGAGATGGCTGTAGGCATCCTCAGTGATCCCATCATATGGCTCTTCTTCAAACTCCTCGTCCTCGTTCTGGTAGGATGTAGGACTGTCAGTGGTGGGCAGGCTGGATGATCCAGGACTTGACCTTTCAACTCCTCCTCCACCCCCACCAGCCCCAGCCCCTTGAATGTGGTACGAAGGCATACCGGGGATGGCGGTCCCACCAGCCGTCGTGTAGAACAGGGAACTGGCCCTCGCCAGCCGACTCCCCAACTCCGAAGAGGAGATCTTGCTTTGCGTCATAGGTATTGTCAGGGGCGTTGGGTCCCCCCCTTCTAGTTTAATCTTACGCTGGGGCATGAGTAGGGATGGAGACCAGCCCGGGGTTCCCAAAAGGGCAGCCACTGCTAAGCCGTTTCCATTATTACAAGGACTCTGCGGCTCGGATCCTGTCTCCTCTAAAGACCCTGCTGTCTGTGAGTCACAGTGAGGTGAGTTTGCCTTAAACATTAGGTCCATGCCTCTTTCAACTATATGCTGAATTTGGAGGTAGCCAGCTGTGTACATAACCACCAGCTGTTCACTAGCGGCCATTGTTAGCTTCCCTGTATAGCAGAAAGTGAGGATCTGCTCAAAGCAAGCAGGTGTGACTGAGGAGGGCAACTCAAATTGGCTCTTGGTTGAGCTGCTGAAGAGGTCACGGAAGTAGAGGCTGCTGGCAGCCAAAACAGCTCGGTGGGCTTTGAAAGCCTGACCTGGTTGATGGAAATAACAGAGAACAGAACAAAAAGGTGAGATACAAGATTCTAGTATCATTTCAAAGTTCTGTAACGTAAATATAATTTCTAGATTTCAAAACTAACCAACCTTTGACCAGGATGGACACATCGCAGTAGTGTCCCAGCAGGCGCTGCTCGTTGAGGGAGCCCAGAACCGTGGCTCCAAAGTTCGGGATCTCCACATGGAGCAGCTGGGACATGTTGGCCGCACAAGAAGAGGAAGTTGGGGTTTCAGATATTCACTGCAGACTCCGCCACTGAGAGAGGCATCTATTAAAATAAGAAAAAAAGAGAACAAAAAAAAGTTATTAAAAAAGGCATTGAAAGAAGGAGTGATAACAAAATGCGTGAAAGATGAAAAGACATGCCAGAGGGAGGCAGAGAGACTCTTAAACAGGAAAGAAAGAGCAAGAATGAAATAGAGTTGAGATGAAGTGAGAAAATGAATGCAGTTGAGGGAGAAGTGAGAGGTGTGTGAAAGAGAGATATGCTGGGATAGTGGGTGAGAGAGAAGAGCAGGAGAGAGAATGGAGTCAAGTCAGTCCACATGAAAGAAAAACAACAATACAATGCCGTGCCTACTGTACATGAGGACGTTGTGAAATACCTTAAGGCTAAGTTGTTTCACATGCTTAAATTCCAAGAACCTTGGACTCGCTCCATGATTTGCACTTAATGCTTCAACCAAGGACTTGGTTGACCTGTAAATCTGAGATTAAACTAAACTGTATCCGACTTTGTTTTGTCTTGAAAAATGCCACAGTTTAGAAAATACTCCCCTAATTTTGCTGACCGTGTATACCACTGTCAGCATTTGATCTCTTTGTAAACTCTGGCTAGAAAACAAAACAACACAACTGACGTCATGTCATGCACACAATCTACACTTAGTTTGATCCTTCTCAATAACATACTTCAGGCATATTTGCACCTTCCTTCCCTTTCCTGAACCTTGTGTCTGTCATTGTTTTATTTTCTCCCCCCACACACACACACACACACACATGCATGTACACTCTGGTTTCATTATTAAGCAATGCTGCAGAACAGTTTCCAGGAATACAAACTGAAGAAAAAAATGTCACCGCCTCTCTCTCTCTCACACACACACACTCACTCTCTCTCTCACACTTCATGCACTCCATACAGACAAGCACGCTCTCTGGCTTACTTACACAAAAGTGTGCATGCCTAAACACACACACACACACACACACACACACACACACAGTACAGGCTGCATAGGGAAATAACTGTGTACTCTGACACGCAAGCACTCACCTGGAGAAACCAGCACACGACGTTCCTTCACTAAAAGACGCTCACACGTGCAAAATGCAGAAAAAAGCGCCCACTGTTATCCCAGACACTTCTGACCTGTGTAAGCCAGTCCTCTGGTTAAAACACACCATGCAGACTTGACACACACTAACACCCCAACAGCAGTCCGGACCAGGACAGAAGAGGAGTAGTTAGAGATGGAAGGAGAGCACTCTGATGTACTCCAACTGGCCGACTCTCTTTTTCACTTTAAAGTGTCCTTCCCACTGTCTCAAAGATGATTCTCTGTCTGCTGTCTGACGGACTTTTTCCTCTGTCTGCCTATCTTCTCTATCTCTATATCCTCCAAAGCCCCATTCTCTCTCTGCTCACTGTCTGTTCTCGCGCTGCCTCAAAGCCTCCCTCTGCCTCCCTGTCATTATCTCTCTCTGTTTCTCCCCCCTCTCTCTATTCTCCAAGGGTTGAATTCAACAAGTGCCGCTGTAAGGAGAGAGAGAGGGAGAGAGAGAGAGTGGGGGAGAAAGAGAATGGGGAGAGAGAGAGAGAAAAGAGAGCAGAGCGAATCAATGATGAAAGGAGTGGGAGGCTCAGTGTGTGCGTGTGTGCGCATGTGTCTGCGCGCGTGTGTCTGATCAATGCAGTATCTATACGTCGCAGGGAGTGGGAGGGAGAGAAAAACACAGGCTACAGTTACAGACGGAGACAGAGACTGGGCAGAGCTAGAGAGAAGCAGGGGAGGGAGGGAGGGAGAGAGGGGAGAGTTGAGACAGAGAGAAAGTCATTTGAGGACAGTACGAGTAGAGAAAGACAATTAGGTTGAAGCAACTTCTGCCACTTGCCCCTGGACACGGATGCGTATACGGTCTAACAGAAAGAGGGCGGGGGTGACACAGGCAAAAGAGAAATGAGAAAAGCTGACAGAGGTCATAGCCACCGTTATTTAACTAAGCATCGAATCGTGAAACTTCTGAAATCCCTGTTTGACGCAAGTCAGGAGACAATGCGTCACATCTTGGTAAAGCAACAGTTCTTAGTGAAGCTTTAATATATGCAATGCAGTATTCCTCTAATCATTCAAAGTGTACAATTAAAAGGTTCATCACAAATCTTTCATTTCAAGGTGTCTCCCATTATCTTATAATATTCGGAGGACAATAGTTTAGAAAAGAAAATAGATTTTACTTTTGAGCAAGTGTTGTGTATTTTCCTCTGAATCATGCGAGGATCTCTCTGCCAAACACCTACACACAAGGCAGAGAGAAGTTCTGTCTTCACGCAAGATTATTTTGTATTTGTACATGAAGTTGTAAATTCAATGATTAATTCACACCCCCAGTTTGCTGGCTCAGCTTATTCAGGTGACATTTCTGTGTTGGCTTTTTGTTACAATCTTTTGACCGGCACATGGGGGAGCTCCCTAAATGTAGCTTGATGAGAATAAGGCAGGACAGGAGCCAGATGTCGCAGCCGGTATCAGGGAAGGAAAGAATAAAAGGATAACAGCTAAGAGAAAAGGATACGTTCCAGAGAGATATGTGTGGGAGGATAAGAATGCAAAATTGCTGTGACAGATGAGCAAGTGCATTTGTACAGTATACTGTGTAATTCTTACAGGGCGAAAACACAATGAAGGAAACTGTCTGACCTCTGCGCCACATTTTGGCCGAGGAGACATGAAGACAGTTAGCGTTCCTGTTTTTAAGATCATTTCACCCTACAACAATCTGTTATAAAAAGCTGATGCAAAGGATTTTCATATTTGAGCATATCCCCGGAACATTTCCAGACAGATTGTGTTTCATATTTTGCCAAAGAAACCTCAAGTGGAGAAAGTTGTGCTAAACTGAGCAAACTTTTACTCTTCAGTCACCGCGGAAACATAAAAAGGAGGATATCACAAAGCGATGAATACAGTGAGTCAGACTTTGCTTTAGAGAGCTCTGCCCCAGCAGTGTGATATCTGCATGGCACATATAGGCACACATGAGTGAGCACACACAAAAAGCACAGTCAGACACACGAGACACCAATCGGCACACACACTAATGCAAACAGACATACACACACAGTCAGGTAATCTCCCTGTGCACACTCAGCAATAAACATTTGCTTCATTTGTCTGTCTGTCCTTCTGTGAACTTGTCACACTGCTTGTCCATCGGTCCATCCATCAGTCGCTGTCACTACCGTGTCCTTACATCGCCCCTCGGTTCTCCTCCCCCCCTCCCTGTTCTCTATCCTTCCCGCCCTGCATACCACATACCCACTGTCTCTCTGCCAATTAATGCACACAGGGCTGCATTGCAGTGAGGTTGGCGCGTGCCACGGCAGCAAGCACAGTACAGAGTCTACAGACATGCATGTACGTGCCAGCCGGGCAGAGAGGGAGAGGAGAGGAGAGGAGGG